ATTTTTAGGAAATAGTTAACACTCTTGTATGCTGACTGTAAACAAAACTTAACTCTGTTTAAAACATCGCTAAAATAGAAAATTACCTTTTCTTTGTTGAGTGTCCTTTACATCCACCCCATCATGAGTGTACCACTGTCCATCCTTCTTGTCGTATTTGACTGGTTCAGGGGTGGGTGAGTGAGGATCTATTGTTAATAAATCTGACACACAACAAAATTAAGTTGTAAACACTGTCTCAATCCAGGAAGGGCTTTCACAATACTACAGGATGTAATAGATCAGTGATGGCAAGGCTGAATGTTATACCAGTGCTACAAATATCTGATTTATCCTCAGTAAACACTTTCTATGTTAAAACTAACACAAATAGTGACCTTAGCTTTTCAATTCTACAAATAGCTTACAGATACATTTAAATCCTACACAATTAAAATACATATACATAGATGTGTATTTAGTACAACTGCATGTAAGCTAGCGGTATATGAGAGGTACAATAGACACCACAGTGCAGTCAACTTGGTCCTAATTTGTCAATGTTGCAAACCTTCATGTGCAGCTCAGATCAGTTTGCAGAGCAGTACAACAGTATGCATGGCTGAGGGGTTCAAAAATAATTAAAATCCCATTTGTAGTGTGAAATTTCTCAGATGAATGGTGTGTACATGATTTGTTAATAACTGATTATTGTCTGAACATTTAATTTATATACTATCAGCAATGTTGTCTTCCTGTCTAACCTTGATGCCCGCCTCCTTTCTTTGCCAGCTTCAAGTAGTCTCCACTGTTTTCTCCTGCTGCTACAATTTCATCTACATTGTGACCAGGACTATTTATGTTTGCTGACAAGTCTGCAATTAAGAACATCACTTTCAAAATTTAATACCCATTTATTTGAAATTAAAAAAATGAAATCAATATTACTAATTTAAAAATATAAAACAATTATAATTAGAAAAGATTTAATTTCGATAGTTTTCATTCTGAAAAATTTGTATTCTTTTAAATGTTTACCATTAACAACAGCATAAAATTTGAAAAATAACTTCAAAAATCTAACAGCTCACCTTTCCTCTGTTGTGTCTCTTTGACATCCACTCCATCATGAGTGTACCACTGTCCGTCTGTCTTGTCAAACATCACTGGTTCAGGGGTGGGTGTGTGAGGATCTATTGTCAACAGATCTAAAAGAAAATGAAACTTTAGTTATTAATTTCCAAACAAAATAGCAATGACCTTCCCTCAGAAAAAAATATTAAGAAAATAATAAATTAAATATGATTAAAAACATGTATTGATTATTACTAATAGAAACATAATTTATCACGCTTTCTTTAAGAGGCTTTAGAGAACTTCCAGCTCTAATGTAGTTATATTGATACAGTTAACAAAGGTTGCCAATTTAAATGCTGATAAAGGCTGCATTTGTTGCTACTGCTTGCTTTACATCTCATGATCACTTTCATCTTCCATGTTCATTCACAGTTCACATGTGCTTTGTGTACAAACGTTCTCAGAAATAACCAACAGTATGATAAAATTAGTATGAGTTCCAATTTGGAGACTGCTGTCGAGATCAGTACTAACCTTTATGTCCTCCACCTTTCTTGGCAATCTTTAGATAATCTGTGTTTGTCTCAATATCTATAGAGCTTGCGGCACTTGATGGGCGTGGACTGCTAGGCAGAGTAACCATTTCTATTGAACAGAGTAAAACTACTGGTCAGCAAAGAAAGTTGCACCCACAGCATCTCTGTCTTGTAATGAAAACTCCACATTTTGGGGCTCAGAGTGTGAAAAGGCACATGTAGTACATTGTGGGAGTAGACAGCTTATTATTACAGAGCTTTCCACCAACATTAAGTAAGTGTATATGATATATGCTTTCAGCAGAAATCAGTGTTCTGTCAAGGATGAAAAATGAGGTAGCAAAGTGTCTGTGAACAAAACAATGAATTAAACAAATCAGCTGATTCAGCACCTTTCCTTGCTTGAGTCTCTATAACATCCACTCCATCATGAGTGTACCACTGTCCGTCCTTCTTTTCATATTTGATTGGTTCAGGAGTAAGCACATGGGCTTCTGTTGTCAAAAGATCTAAGGGTGAAAAATGAAAAATATTATATACCAGCTGAGCAATAATAAGCAAATGCACTGTTGTACTGCACTGTTAGCTGATGTAGAGTTATGTTACGGCTCAATTTCTACCTCTGCTTTAAATTTCTTCAGACCAGTATGTTGGCTTTCTTAATACAAAACAGTTTAATTCTCATCACATGGGTGGGAGAGGGGGAGGGCATTGGGAACCAATAACAGTTACTTAATAGACCAACACCTAATGTAATGGTTGCTGGGATGGCCTGGTGGAGATGAAGGTGGACTACAAAGCAGACATCAGGTGTTTGAATCTACGTGAGTGTCAAATAAAATAGTCTTTGTGCTAAGTAGAGGAGTAGTATGGTAAAATTCAAGTCAGCAGTCTTGCCTTTATGCCCTCCTCCCTTCCTTGCAGTCCTTAAGTATTCCGTTTCAGCTTTACACTCAGCTAAAGAGTCACTGTAAGTCCTTCGACGCTTCTGCACTACTCCAGTATCTGAAAAGGAACAAATTTTAAATCACAGCTACATAATAAAGAGGTTTTAAATATATAAGCAAATATCAGATAAGCAAATATACTGAACACAAGTAACTACAGCAGTATTAAAATTTTTCCTCACCTTGTGGACCATCTTTGATGACCATGTCATCTTGGTTATACCAGTCTCCGCCCTTTTTTTCATATTTCAGTGGCTCAGGGGATGGAGTGTGATCCTCAATGGTCAACAGATCTAGAAAAAACAATAGTGTAACTTTATAAAAAGGACAAAAGAGGCCAGAGACTACATACAACAATAACATCTTATTTTATCACAACTATAATAATGGTCAGGAATACAAATCACATTTAGGTTAGAGTTAATTAGTTACAATAATTAATTTCGTTATAAGTTATTGTTGAAACCCCTCGTTATCAATGAGCCTAGAGATTACATGAATCACTAGGTTTTCAAATTAGCCTCCACCCTTGTCATGTACATTAATATTTTTTGCAAGGCAGGAGAGAGATATAACAGTCAGAATAATTTACAGATTGATTTGAGGAATGAAAACAATTGACTGAAGTGATAGCTACTGTATTTTGGTTATTGGTCTGACAGTAAACAGTGTTTTGTTGTTTACTGTAAATTCTTTGAAAATGATTGGAAGGTATTTCTTAAGACAAGTTGCCATACATGTTGGCATGGTTAAATTTTATTTGCAGTTTAAAACAAAAAATGCACATCTCAGGCTGCTGCTTTCAGTGAGATTTGAAATAAATTTCCTGTAGTACATGACTCATCAGAAAGTACTAGTACATGTAATAAGAGAGGCCCAGAACACCTTCCACTAGAAGAACACTTTGTGTTACAACTTTTTGATAGTGATTCCCAATAAAACACCTGCTGAAGCTCTATGAGGTGTTTGGTCATTAGCCAAGATTGTGTACCGTTGAACTAAATGCTTATGTCATCCTCAGAGTCTGTAGGCAATGATTGCCTGCTAAATTTATTATAATTACAGTATTATCAAGAATAAGTTTTGCTTTTTTGTCAACAACTGTGAATTGTGACTGTTACCTTTGTGCCCTCCACCTTTCTTGGCCAGGTCAAGATATCCTGTTTGCTTTCCTCCTGCTGCAGATTCTGCATCCCCATTGAGTTCCCATCCATCAAGAGCTAAAGACAAGTCTGTTGTACACAACATTGTCACATTATATTTAATATATAAACCAGAACTATTAATGGCATCATTAAAGCTTTCCACTCAATTAAGCATTCCATCATTCATAAATAGTCCAAATACAAGAGATGGTTAAATGTTCAGATCAGTCACACTGAAGCAAGCATGACTTTTACCCTTTGAAGTATTTAGTGATGTTAACCTCACCTTTTCTCTGCTGCGTCTCTTTGATATCTACTCCATCATGAGTGTACCACTGTCCGTCTGTCTTGTCATACTTCACTGGTTCAGGGGTAGGTGTGTGAGGATCCACTGTCAATAAATCTGCAAGTAGACAAGCAAACTTGTTAATTCATAAGCTCACAAAAAAAAATTAAATAAATCATCTCTCCTGAATGAGCCTCGGCCCTTAGCTTTCATGGCTTCACTTGGTACAACTTTTGCACATGACAATTTGTTTCTAACCTTTATGCCCTCCACCTTTCTTTGCAATTTTAAGATATTCCGTATCTGTCTCGATGTCCACTGAACTGTCCGGAGATGACTGTGACCGACTAGGCACTGTCATCATTTCTGAAATGGAGGCAAGTCAAAATTTAAAAATTGCACATAAGATGATTATAATAAATCGTATTAGTCTGAACATGAAATAAAACAAAAATTAATGTAATAATAATTTTATTGTTCTAACCTTTCCTCTGCTGTGTGTCTTGTATATCTACTCCATTATGAGCATACCACTGTCCGTCCTTTTTGTCATATTTCACTGGCTCAGAGGTGGGAGTGTGAGGATCAACTTTTAATAGATCTGTCAAAACAGTAAGCTGTATTGATCAACACTTGGTGAAACTTCTCCACTAGCCTTGTAGTCTAAGGCAAGTAGACATAGGAGGTTATGATCTGATTAGATTTAATTTTATATTGACAAAAGAAGATCCACATAGTGGCTATTATATTGCAAACCAGATCACAAGATGAGCCCTTTGATAAGAACATTACATTATCTTAGGTTTAAACTGCCCACATGAATAATACCATGAATAACCGTCATAACTCTAGGTGTAGCCTAGGATGAAATAGCTTGTCAAACTAAACCATAAGGAGAACAGTAAGGGCAATTTATACACTCCATTAACCAATTTATTTTTTGTACACTGTTTCCTTAATTTCTGGTGCTCAATTAAAACACAACCTTCATAAATTGTAGCTTGTTAAATATACCTGAATGTCCACCACCTTTCCTTGCCATTTGAAGATATTCAGTTTCTCCCTCAGTGAATCCATTACTTGTTGTTAACACATGCTGACCGTCTGGTGTGGCTGGTTGGTCTACAACATATTACACACATTTATAGTTTATTAATACTGTGCGAAGAAAGAAATTAAAGAAAGCACATACATTGGACACCATGCAGTTCATTAGTCAAGCACTCTCCCTAACTTTCAGCCAAGCAAGACCATAGAGCAGCTACTAAAAGTAATTACACGCAATTCCAGTGATTCTCAGTTATTTAAAACAGGTTGTATGTACTTGTGTACCTGGAACAGAATGTTGCCTGATGCAGACTAGTGCTATATTGTTTCACAAGAATTTTAATACCAGCCCTTAGACCCACATGTATTTCTACTCAGCCCAAGACAAATTATGTAAATAAATATTATCTGGTGTAGAAAGATCATGGGTACCTCTGGTGAAATCACTTTGTTTTTTGCTTGTCTTGTTTTTGCTTTAACTCACTGCTACAGTGTACTTGTGCATTTCATTTTCTCTTTGCCTTAAGTTACAGAACACTAACAAGTTGAAGGGTTTTATTTTTAAGTCTTTAACAAACCTGTTGCCTAGGAATTCTTTTAAACACGTAAGAACTTACATTGTACATGTGGCACAACACATTTTACAACAGATACTTTCTTTAGTTTGTGATGATTACATGGGAGCTATGGTCAATTTAGCATTCAATTATTTACTCCTAATTTCAAAACTGAAATACAATTGTATTATGTACACTATATGGATGGTACCTCGATCTTAAGATAAGGCCAAGAGTATAGCTGTAATGTCTAAAAGTACACAGCAACAAGACTTTAATACTTATTTTAAAACTCAAAAAAATTTGTTCAACCCATTACTATTGTCCTCCATAATTACAGAAATGTGCTATGCGAATCTAAGGACCGTGCATTCAGGAAGATCCAGATCAGGATCAATGGAACTGTACTAGATAATGAATGCTTGTCCACACTGGATTCACTGGTTCCTTAGATGCATGATCTAAAGAATCTGTCATTTACATGTAAATCCTGATCTGAATCGTTGTTATAATTTATAACCAAATACACCATTACGGACACATTTTTGACAAGGGCAAAATATAAGTTACACTTGCATATATACTGTATATTCTCTGCTTACTCAAAGTATAATCATTCACTATCCACCAAATTCAACCAAGTTTTATGTCTACACTGCTCTGTCCTTTTAATGGTACACTAACAATGTAATCATTGAAAAAAGGTTTTGTATACTGACCTTGATACCCATCACCATTTGGGTAAAAATCTTCAGCGTTGCCATTTGTATAACTCCTCTGTGTGTCTGACATCACTTCATCATCATCATCTCTCAGTGAAGAGAAGTCCAATGCTAATGGAGTCGGCAAACGGGAGTCCCAAGACTCATCCAGGGATTGCCAATCTTAACATGAATTAATAAAATATTACAGATAATATGTACACTCTCATTGGTTGATAGGTATATTTAGATGAGAGTATGTAAACACAGTTATTACTGAGAATATTATTTTTATAAAAGCAATAGTGGACTTTTTCCACTTTTTCATGCATGTAGCCTCATCTACATTGTCAACACTTGGGGGTTGGGAGAATTCTCAACAGTTATGTAAACCCAAGAGTTTCATACACTCTAGCGTAGTTTAAAGCGAATCAATCTCCCCGACAAATAGTTATCAATCCAGCTGTAGACAGAGAATTCTCACACAATGATGTGATGAAAAAAACTTTAGTGAAATGTGATGTTGTTTGTAAGTTTGTTACAGGGCCTTTTTGAATTTTAGCTATGCAGTTGTCTGATTTAAGGTCGGGAACCTGCTCTAGGAATGCTCTTGGAACATGTGACATCTCATGTTCTGAGAAAAAGAATTACCAGAATTAGGCCTCTGCCTTCCCATTGTTTTGTAATTCTACTTTCATGACTTTTGGGGGTTAAAACAGAAGTGAGTGAGATCAGAGGGAGAAGTGTCACTTCCTTGGATAGAAAATTTTCCCTTTTCCTTAATTTTCCCTATTCCAGAGTTTTCTTTGGGAATATTTGGAATAAACTCAAAATGGCTAACAAAAAAAACAAAAGACAAATATGTCACCAGAAAGATTAATTGTTATTTACATGTGGTGTATCTCTGTTTCATTTTGATAAAGCCCTGTTAATCTTTACCCTGGTATGGCTTACAGCTTTCTGTTTTAGGAATGCACAATTTTTTCAGACCTTGCCAACTCAGTGTAAAAAGCAATTTTGAAACATTTCCCTATGCAGAGCATTATGTCTAATAAGTGTTGAGCTTAAATCACCCACAGCGTAAGTGAACCATTACTTTTCACACATCATAAAAGATGTATACAACTTTCTGCAAATTACGACCATTGTTTCAGCCACCAAGGACAATACATTCCATGCAGATTTCTTCTGATAAATAGGCCACTGAACTCTGTAGCGAATAAAATTAGCTGAGCATATAGCTAACAAAAATAATTATAATTATTTTTTACAAATTAAGCACTATTGGCCCATGGTAAACTGCAAGTTGTTGTTAGTATCCAATATATGTATGTAGCGGCATATACCATAGCAGACTTGAAATAAAATCACTGTGTGCCCATATAAACCAATTTGGCAAAGTAAACAATCGTACTAATGGTGAAATTGACTAGGGAGCTACCAACCTCTCTGTGTGATAAGGTAAACATTTCTTGTAGACGCTGAAACAAATACGAAAGTTTCGAACGGATCTTACATCAAGATCAAGATCAAGACCAGATTAATCGAAAATCTTTCCCTTTCGTATTTTTTTAATCTATTGTTGGCCTGTAATATATTCAACCAAAACATTTATACACATCATCAATTTGGAATATATCACGATTTTGCAGAATCCTTTTTCCTGCGGTAACAGGTGGATATTTTGCCCCTGCAGTTCAAAAGAAATCGAATCTATTGGCACTTTCCACACTATCCAATGTAACTCTTAATAAAATAAAAATACTCGGGGTTCATAAATCCGTGCTATTGTCTTGTCTCGTTGAAAGAAACTAACGTTTGACGGAAGTTTTGGCGAATAGGTGATTTGTTTGGGTTGGCGATTCAATCTTTTGGCATCAAGTTTGGTCTACGTTAATGTACAGTGATACTCTAGCTTTAAACACAGTAAACAATTAAGCCAAACAAAAGCAAGGCCTTGCATAATTTACAATCTGCAAGTGTAGTGTGAGACGAAACAATACCACTGCATTTCTTAAAGTTAATGGGCAATATGTTGACCTTCGTGAACAAACGTGTTCATGTCATCCCTCGAGAGTTGAGCTAATACGACCAGACAGTCAACACCAGATGCCAGACAGAAGAGGAACGATTAATATTATTAAAGAACAGTTCAAACAGAACCAAAAACGAACGATCTAAAACTGCTGCCAAGTACGTGCTATGGAACACCCGTAGCGAAGCCAAGTAAAGGCTTCGTTCGTTGGACGACGAACTGTAAATTACCATCAATCATCACGCATTTCTAACCAAGAAAAAACTTTTTCCCGAAAGAAAACAAACATTCAGTTTTGAAAACAGAGAAATTATGTTTGCCCACAAGCCAGTTACATAAACTTTCCCTGACCTGTTTGCATTGATAAAACTGAGAACAAACAACGAATAACACGCAAAATGAAATTTTCGCTTCGCACAATTTAAGCTTACTATCGCTTAAATTGGAGCAGATCGGATGACTCAAACCTCACCTAAAATATTATGGAGACGTTGTATTCTTTAAAATGTCTTTGTTTACGAGTCTCTGCTAAAACAAATTATTATCCGCTATCGCAATATAGGATTATTGTGAGTTACATGTATTTTCAGTGGGCAGCGGAAAATAGATCTGACGGTGACATTCCAAGAGGAAAAATTTCCCGTTACGAAAACGAAGGTCTAATTATAGATTAACCTCGACACACAACACAAGCCAAGTCTTAACACCATGAAAAATCGAGGGCAAGGCCGTAAGATTAGATACTTAAACAAGAATTGGATCCGTAATGAACCTTAAGCAGATCCATGAAGGTTGAATGAATAATTCACGGCCAAGAAACCGCTTTCCTCCGGCTTTAAACATTCGTGGTGTTACAGTTAAGCACCGTGCTATTTTTGTGGCGAACCCTGCCACAAAATCGAATTACGAAATTTGAACTCACAAGAAATAGATATCAAATAAAATCAGCGATGAAGCTCTTTCAAAATATCCATCGAAACACGTTTGAAATTCTTAAATGAAGCCTGCCGGCCAACAATTGATACGAATCCTCTGAACGTCTCGCGCGCTCGCCGCCGTCTTCAGAATCGGACGTACACTCCAGTAGCTTATCGAACGGAAAAATATGAATCACTTACCGTCAGAAGGTTGGTTTTGTGGGGAAAGAACCTCCATATCGTATACAATCGATACTTTAGCTCCTAGAGACCAACGCTGATTCCTGCAGCGAAACGGAAATTATTCACCTTTCTGTTTTCTTCTTGCAACACGCGCTGAAGCCTGTGACAACCGCGTGGGGCCTGAAACATGCAAAACACGTCACACTGTCACGGGAAGGGTGGGGAAGGACATCTCTTGAAGAATCTTAATAAACGATTCGGTTAACTGTTTGAAACTAAAGTTAAGTAAAAACTTTCTTGATATTTATTGGCAAGACGTTTTGTGGAACTTTCGATAATTACGATTCAATTCGCCGTAGGGGTAAGGTTAGCGTGTGTACCCTCCCGTGAAAGTATTGATTGTCGCCATGTTTGTGTGACTCGGTTGGCGCGGAATTTGACCAAACATGTCACTCGATGATTTAATACTTGTGTACTTGGGCAATGCCTTAATGGCAAAATGGTTTACTTGGCCATTATTAAAATTAACACACTAAACAAGAAACTCAGCAAATTCTGTTTAGACGTGATGCGTTCTAACGCCTTATCAATATTCCTCTTCGTTTTCATTCGCTCACGAGAACATTACCGTTTTTTTGCGAAGAAACAAACAATTGAAAATTCGTAATCATACAAGGAACTGTCGCAACAAAGACTCCCACGATGTTAATAGCCCCTTTGTCATTGGCGAATTGAAATATTGTTTTGCCTGCGCTAATAGCAGTTTTAAATTCTGGCACAAAAAGCAATGAAAGGTGTTTTTTCAAACTAAATTTACGCCTCGAACACGGAAATTTTAATCTCCGGGAGAAAAAAAACTGGAAAGCGCTATATGTTATCCTGTTAAAGCGAAGAAACACACTAAAAAATGTATAATTTTTTTTACCGTATTTTATTTCCACCAAACCTTGTTTTTGCACATGACAAATCATGCATTCAAAGTTCGTTTTTATGACACAGGAAGGTCCCGCTCAATTAAGTAAGGTTATATGAATTTCAATCGTTGTCAAATGTCTAATATCACACAGCACACTCACGAAAGTTTTCCACATATTTGAGGAGTCGTTTGAGTTCCCAAAACATGAAAACTTTGCAAAATTCGTACTAAGATCTAAGCGAACTACTGTTTTGAAACAATTTTTTCTTTTAAGATCCGACGTTGACCTGTACCTCTTATTAATTTGTCATCCAACAACGAGCGGAGCATAATAAACAAAAACCACAACCTAGACAGAAAGGTCCTAATTAAACTCCGCCTGTTCGTCCGAACAGCTAACAAAGGCCTAATATTCTCTCTTTGTCTCATAGGTGAAACCAACTGCTTGCAAGGTACTGCAGTCTAAGAGCGAGGCTGAATCAAGCCTCTAGTTTCTTAGGAATGGCGAGGTTCAAATGGAACACGCATCTCGAGAGTTTAGTGTTAATAGAGTCAGACATTTGCCTTGATAAACGTTCGAAAAAAAAGCAAATTCAACGATTGTTATCCAGGCTAGAATTGCTCCGTACTATTTAAAATCATTCATGGTTCATTTAAGATGAAAAGTGGACCTGCGAAGTCACTGAGCCGTTTGTTCACACGGGAGTATCGCTGGCCAATCATGATGAAACCAGCGAACCGAGCAAAACAAACATCAAAATTGCCAACAGATTACGAGATACGTTTTGAACAAAAATATGCTCCCCTCAGCAACGTTGGTTTTTCAGTGGCATTTTGTGGAGAGCAGAATATCTCTCACACCCTTCAAGCGAACAACTTAATAGTTTTAATTTAAGAAATACTGTATATGGATTTTGACCTGGAAGGGTCAGTACACTCACCTGGTGTCTCTGGGAACTGGGTGTAATCTACATATTTCATTAGTTCAAGTCAGCGTCCTGACAAAGTCTTCGACGAAATTTTCCACAGAAAGGAAACGTGTTTCGGAAGAAGAGGAGTGAACGTAAAAATCGGTTACGTAACTTCCTAGGCGTTGTCCGAGTGTTCAATTTGCGGTACGTGACCAGGATGAGCTCAAAAGAGAAGTCTTACCCCTTTACTTAGTACAACTCGGTTGATTTTACACACGTTTGTTGATAAACCTGACACTTCATTGCTTATAAACTCAGCCATGGCCAACTAAGCAGGAGCGCACACATTAAGATTAAGAGTCAACGGAACATCAATATTTGACAGTCGCTCCATAGTCAAGCTGTAACATCAACAAAAACTTGCGCGCGAACGACAATTCATTTAAATTCCACCGTACAGAGCAGTGTATTCAATAAACACAGCAAAATAACCATAACAATGGCGGCGTGGATCCAGCAAAATTAAATATTGGACAATATGGTTTCAGTTCTTTGTCTCCTTCCCTGATTTCAGTGGAGAAGGTGACGGAGAGTACTTGTTCTAAGATGGTTCCAGAGTATTCACCGTAGACTTACAGTGTTGAAATATCTATCTTACGGCGAGGATCCATGTAACCCCAAAATAACACAATTATTTCTTTTCAAAACAACAGCTGTTACAGAGCCAGGTGTTGTGAAACATGTGCATTGTCTACCATGCTGTCTAATAATCCTTTTAAGGGTTTTTGTAGTGATTGTTTTTCTTTCCTCGAATCGCTTGCATTCGAACTATAACAAGATACGGTTTCACCAGTTAGGAAAAATTAATGAATGTAACCAAAACGAAATTATCCCTCCCAAAACAGTTTATTCGTCACCAGCGTCGATTTTTTTTTTTCATGTCTGTAACCGTTCAAAAAAAGTAATATACACATCTTTGATCGTCTTTGTCTTCACCTCCAAATTTATTGCACTAGTTGGTGGTCAATTATAAAATAATTTGAACTCCTATTTCTAGTAAAATCAGATCAGTTCAAGATAGAACGGAAAAATATCCCTGAGAGTGAAAATCTCACAGAGTAAATTGACAAGTCTCTTTGGCTATAAATAGAACAGGCAAAATGGAAAGCAATTTTGAATTTTACGGCTCAGTCCCCTGCTGTTGAGTCGGTGATCACAAAGAGTGTCGGACGAATGGTTAGTCAGGTCTGGATTAGCCGCCCAACATTAAAAGCTTATATCATTACTTTGACCAGTTAATCTTTTAGCTATTCACAAGTACATTGAAAAGTAAACGAACAAAATCTTAAGTGAGAGTCGTCAAACTCTCCTCCATCAATGAATGTTGACTGAGGAAAGCGCATTTTATGCGGCAAGGGCGGGGCAACAGTATGAAAATTTTGCCTCTCGCCCTTCAGAGACAGAATAAGCGTTATTTCACCTTCTCCAGAGATCGCTCAATATTACTTGGTGTTTCCGAGATATAGAGTTTATCTTCGAAACCTTGGGAGCAGATAATACCCATAAGAACCAGGAAACTAGAGCGACGTGCGAGAGGTGCAAACTCTTTCACAAACGTAACGTAAGAGAACATGCACTATTTTAAACTTCTAATTTGTTCTGTCTCTAAACTGTTACTTGGAGGGAAAACTCTCAAAAGTTAAGCTGGCCATTAGCAGCGCTTTTCGTTCTGTAGCTCGTCGCACGTTCATTGGCTTACGAGACTGACGCCTCGCAAGCTTCACCGATTTGTGATCCGTTCGCTTTCAGTAAAATTGTTAAGCAGCATGCTGTGTGGTTTTTTGAACTGAGAAAACCGAATTGCTGCAAGTGAAGTACTTGATAAACAGCGATTTAAATTTCTCTTAAATGACGTACGTTGGGAAGGGTTGCACTTGAGAAATGTTCAATTGTTGGAACCCTTCTCGGTCAACTGAGCCGAGGACTTGCGGTAAATTCACATTTAGGTTCTCCTTGTTTCAAAATCATTCGTTTGCATAATTTATTTCCGGGGCATTAATGTAATCCGTAGTCTGTAACATGGCGACGTATTTTGAAACAGAGGAAAATGTAATTACAGAATAGTGCTAATTCTTTGTAAACAGGGATTGTTTCGATTTTAAAAGTAATTACCAGCTAAGCCAGCCAAAGTTATAAAGTTGCCTTATGTTTATTAATATCAACTCTTGTAAATTATGTAAAGAGGGAATGCAAAGACAGGCGGCGAGCCAGCCCATAAAGTCACTCAGTTTTTTTTAGTTCAGTAACACCATTTTAGAGCTTAAAAAGTAGCGAGGCTCGCGTTTTTAAACTAAAAATTATCAGAATTCGTTAACTAATGATACTGAGTAATTGCTGTAAAGTCTTAAAACACGCGCAGGAAATAACTAAAATGTTGTTTAAAATAATCGCAGAAACAATGAAAAAGTAAAGTGTTGGACAGGTGTATGCAAATGACCAAAATCTATCTAGATCTATTGAAAATGAAATTTTTGAATGTAAATGGACTTAATTGAGCACAGAAATTGAAATTGGTTATGTCGATCAAAACAGCAAATTGACAAAAAAACGTGTTGGTACATGAAAATAAAAGGCACAAGTATTTTAGGGTGGAGAAGCACTGCTTCGATTGTGGGAACTAACCATAAATAGCATCCGGCCCCTGGTTTCAGTTTAATAACATGAAGTACGAAGAGATAATGGCTGTAGACCTAATTTAAGAAATGGTTTCACTACATACGTTATTAATGTAAGTATTTTACTCAGAAGGGTAAAAAGTAAGATAAGATATTATTGTAAAGAGAATTATGGCAAAATATCGAAAAATTGACCGCCTCAAGGTTGCTGTGTTGAATTGCACTGTTGAAACTCAGTTCTTTAAATGATTAACATCGCTAGTGCCAAGTGTAGTTATCACTGTAAAGAAAAGTTTGAATACCAAAGAGTCATTAAAACTAACAACAATGCGATTGCTTTGTCTGCTTGGTCACCCTAGGCCACTTTAGAAAGCTTGGATACGAGTTTTACAGACAAATGAATGCAAAACTGAACACGCTGTTATGCAGGCTCCCCAGCGAAAAGCTACTTTCTGCAAATTTAATCAGTTCAATATTTGTCAAGTCTCTTTAAACGACAGATTATCAATATTTCAGAATAACATTTGACAGATTTTATTTCACAGGATTTTTTTTTTTTGACTTTCTTTCCTTTTCGAGCAATTAGGTCCTTCTTGGCAAGGTTAAAGTTAGCTTCATTGTACCTCTCAGACTGAAATAAATCACCAGTGTTGTGTTGTTAGAGCCGACTACTGCTTGCGTGCATATGGCCATCTTTATTCCAGCGTCGAAAACAGTAGGAAAACGAAAATGAAAATTAGACGTGTGCACGAAAGCCACTAGGGTTACCAAAAGGATCGAGGACTACAAAAAAGTTGCTTTTGCGTTGCCCGGCAACTTGAAACTTGTAATCAGGTCTTACTGTGGGTTTGAGCGCGGGCTCTGTATTCCGGGCAGGCTGAACTGGACCTTAGATGTCTGGCAAAAATTATTTAGCCAACAAATTATACACTGATTTAGCGCAAGTTAATCAGCAATTATTTTTCAGTTCATAGGTACTTTAAGTTTTGGCATTGCTAGATGCGTTATATAACTTGTCCCCACTCCTCGTGGATTTCNGGGGGGTTGTCTTACCTCCCGACAGCCCTTCAAAGGCCTTTGAAAGCTTTGGGGTTTTTTCGTATTTTCGCCCACCCATGCATGTCCATGCTTGTGTTTCAACAGGTTATGTATCATATTGGCAGGAACAGTATGCTTCTACACTAAC